TTAAAAGAATAAGTTGTGTTTCTAGGTATTGCAGAACTGCTGAATAGTTTTCACATTTTTTAGACCAGTTGGCTGCACTGCCTACTAGGCAACTCTGCTATGTAAGATGTTACTTTGGGGCATGTCATACTGTGACACTGATTTTATTTTCTTGCCATAAATCCATGGACCTCTAAAGGCTGGACATCATTTGTTAATATGGGGGATGAGAAGAAAAGCTATGCTCAGTAAGGTTACCAAATCAATGATATGCAAATAAAGATATCCATAATTCTGTGACCTACCCTAAGAAAAATGTTAGCTCTTTTTTCCGTGATCCTCAACATTTGGATTAAATTTACGTTTTAACCCATATCACAGACTAATCTGCATTTCTATTACTTGTGTAAGGTTTATTTTATGCAATAGATTGTAAGCAATTTCAGAAAAAAGATGACAAAAATTTTTGCAATTCCTTCATCACATAGAATACATGTTATCAAGAGCTTAATGATATTTGTCAAATAAAAATATAGAGTTTTCAAAAAAATAGAGTTTTCAAGATAGATGGGACTATATATTTTAATAAATACACTCATTCACTTTATAGTTGATGAAACTAAGTTTTGGAGAAGGAGTGTGGCTTACCTAGAGGTGTGGTCAGTTGGAGAGCGTTAATGTTGGAAATACTAACTCCTCACCTAAACACTTACCATCAGCTACATCAAGTGGAATGAAAGGCATTGCCTTGATTAGGCATCCTGTGTTCCATGTTATAACTCCTTTTTTATCTTCCATTATCATTGAATTTCTCATTTTTAGAAAAATAATAAGACAGCACTAAGTCATTTTTTAATTAAATGAGACACCCATTTGATGCACAGTGGTGGTATTTCAGAAACATGAACTCAAAATATGTCTTTCCAAGAAAATATTTTTTTTTTAATGTAGACTCCATGCACAATGAGCGGCTTGAACTCACAACCCCCAAATCAACCATTACATGTTCTACCAACTGAACAAGCCAGACACCTCTCAAGCAGATGGTCTTTAATCATACTTTTTTTTTTTTAATTTTACAAATATAGTACTTGGTTTTTTTATCTCCAGGCTCTCCTGATTCCAAGTTAATGCTAAGTACTTCCCGTAGAACACTGCCTTAGATACATCCTGGAAATTTTGATATGTCATTTTTTAAGCTTTATTTATTTCAAAGAATTTTCCAATTCCCCTTGTGATTTATTATTTGGCTCATGGGTTATTTAAAAGAGTATTGTTCAGTTTCCAATTGTGTGGCCCTTTCTCGATACTGTTCCATTATTGAGTTTTAATTTGATTCCATTGTGGTTAAAGAACATATTTGTGTGTTTTAGTTGCTTAGAATTTATTGTAACTATTTCATGGCACAGAATAGGTTGTGGTTTTATCTTGGTAAATGTTCTGTATGTAGTCGAAAAACATTTATATTGTGCTATTGTTGGGTGGAACATTCTATAAATGCCAGTTAAATTGAGTTGATCAGTTGTACCATTCAAATCTTCTGTGCTGTTCATATCGTCTGCGTCCTCACTGGCTTTTCTCTACTTGTTCTATTAATTACTGAGAGGATAATGTTTAAACCTCCAACTGCAATTGTGGATTTTTCTGTTTCTCCTCTAAGTTCTATTGGTTTTGATTTTATGAATACTGATGTTTTGTTTTCCAATATACAAATACATTATCTCTTGATGATTTATCATTAGAAATTGAATCTGTTTTTGGTAATATTATTTGTCTAATACTAATATATCTGATATTAGTTTAGCTACTCCAAGTTTCTTTTGATAATTTGTAGGCATGATACATATTTTTCATACATTTAGTTTGGATGTCATTATATTTAAGGGTGGTATGTTATAGATAACTTACTTTTGGATTTTGTTTTTTGTTAAATAAAATCATATCTACTTAATTCTTTATTTTAGGCCACTGTCCAGTATAGGTTTTAGCCAACTACCAGAAAACTTAGTCATTTCCAGTTTACTTATGCTAACACAATGAATCCAAAATCTTAGGGAGTTCACTCATATTAAGTAAGTTTTCTTATCTGATATTATGTTCTTTTCTTTCTTATTTAATAGCACCAGAATACATCTCAAAATTACTTCACAAGTTATGCTGATAGAAATTAGCAAGCTTTTGTCATTTATTTTTATATATATCTATCTACTTCTGAGTCAGACTTTGAATTTTTCTCTAACTGAAGAAGACTAGGATGAAAGTCCCATTATAAGCTGGAGGGAGCACCTGGTGGCTCAGTGGTTGAGGATCTGCCTTTGGCTCAGGTCGTGGTCCCAGAGATTGAGTCCCCACACTGGCCTCCTCACATGCAGCCTGCTTTTCCCTCTGCCTATCTTTCTGCCTCTCTCTGTGTGTCTCGTGAATAAATAAATAAAATCTTAAAAAAAAAAAAAAAAAAACAAGCTGAAGGCAGTGAGGGTGATGGTCTTGGAGAATGAAGAGAATTGCTGTTTTTCAGTGGGGCACCCGCTCCACATCATTGTTAAACAAGGCCTGACAAATCACCCAGATAAGTATGATTACTGTTGTTGGTAAGATATTCAGAGAGCTTTATTCATGATATTCAAATTCATTTTCCATTTCTGATTTCAAGAGTTGACTTTTTTTTCTTCAAAGATTTTAATTTATTTACTCATGAGAGACACACAGAGGGAAGCAAAGACACCAGAAGAGGGAGAAACAGGCTCCCTGCAGGGAGCCCAATGTGGGACTCGATCCCAGGACTCCAAGATCACACCCTGAGCCAAAAGGAGATGCTCAACCACTGAGCCACCCAGGTGCCCCAAGATCTGATTCTTTCAAGACCTAAAAGTAGGTCCCTAACTTTCAAATAGGACCCAGGTGATGTTATTAATTTAACATAAATTGTAATACAACCACATATAGAAACATTTTTAACTCATTTTCAAATACATCACCTTGGTGGCTATAAGAGATCAACATTATTTTATCCCAAATGATCACATGCTGATCATTTGAGTAACCTTTTGCTAGTCTTTTGCCATCTTATGAAACTGACCAAGTGAATTCTGTTTTCTACCAATACTGATGTCTTCTCAATAATCTAACAGGTATACCTGTTATACCACTAACAGGTATAATTAGTAAGATAATCAATCTCTTATTTTCATCTTTGTGGGTCTGCAGTTTTGCTTCCAAATGGTGTACCAGTCAGGATTGAAGGAATAAAACAGACAGAACTCAAGGTAGTTTAAAAACACTCAAATATTTGAGCAGTAAAGAATTTAAAATGAAGAGAATTATATCCTGTCAAAACTATTGAAAGATTAGAGAGAATTGGTTCTATCCCAAACTCCTTGAAATAGTATCAAGGACCACACAGAACTAGCCCTCCAGGCATGGGCCTTTTGCTCTTGGTACAGTTTTTCATCCAGAAAATCTGAGCATCTTCATTGCTTCATCTGGTGTCTGCTCAAATGTACCTCCCAGTGAGGCCGTCTCTGACCACACCATATAACAACCTCTCACGGTAAGAGAGGGTCTGCTTGTGTGAATGGAGGTCTCAGGCCTTGGATTCCCAGAAGATCTAGGTGGACAGAAGGAAAGTAGCAAGCGCAGAGCAGTTTATTGAAATGAACGTACACTCTCAAGGTGGGAGAGTGGCCAGGCTCGCTGAGGTGGAGGTAGCCCCTCGGTTGTTTTAGAATTGGATCCTGTTAGGTCTCTTGGGCTGGAAGGAGCTGTGACATACTCCATCTGCTCTTGTACTCTTATTTTTCTATAGTAATTCTCATCTGGCATATATTTGATTGTATATTTCTTTACTGACTGCCCCCCCCCAGTAGAATATGGTTCTAAAATGAAGGAGTTTTTGTTCTATTCACTGGTATATTTTCCTACTTAAAACTGTGTCTGCCACTCACATTGTGAGTGCCTACTCTCTGTGGACTGAATAAATGGATGGATGGATGGATGGATGGACGGATAGATGGAATTATATGACTTTGTGGATTTCTTCTTTAAGGGCCGTTTTCCTCCTCTACATCTTCTCAATTTCTCAACACTCTTCAACATTCAGCTCCCATTAGGCATCCCTATGGGTTCTCCACCCAATTTCCTGTGCCTCTTTCCTGAGATCGTAATTGATTTGGGGTCTAACCACATTATTTAGGATTCTGCATATATTTAAGACACGCAAATACCACAAAAACCTTGCATGATTGCTGGGGGCAATGAACGTACCTTTGATTTATTCACACTTTCCAAGAATCTTATGTTGTAATGAACATGCTTCAATGCCAAGTTATTCATGACTTCAACAAGCCTGATGCCCCATTTTTAAAGTGGTTTGTCTATGCTTTCATACCAACAAGAAACATTTTTATTTATTATACCAGATACAGTTATCTACATTTTCTATTTACTCTGATCAGAACAGGTATCCTGTAAGAAAGGTATAACAATTTTGTGTATAGAGAAATTTGTAGGCAGGGATTTGTATGAATCTTCTCCCATTGATATAAATGGTATGTTGGGAGAAAGAGAACCAAACCTGGCTTTGCTGCTCATGAGTTATGGGATTTGAAGCAAATTACTCCTCAACCTTGGTCAGAGTTTCTTTGTTTGCCAGTTGAAGACTTCACAGAATTATCTCTAAGGCACCTTCCAGTTCCGGTAACGGATGAATGTGAGGTGGAAAAACCAAAACAATTCAAGGCTACTCTACAAACATATAAAAGTAGAAAAAGTAGAATTTTTAGAAGAAAAATTCCTCTAAGGAAACCAGACATCATGCATGCTCAACTAGCTCCATTGTCTCCAGTTCCAGGATTCCAGGAATCCTGAGTTCACTGACATTTTTTAAGACCACAGTTTAATATCTCATGTTTGGATAAAGTTATTTGTTTTTTTTTAAAGATTTTATTTTTATTTATTCATAAGAGAGAGAGGCAAAGACACAGCAGAGGGAGAAACAGATAGATGGAGAAGCAGGCTCCACAAAAAATATGGAACACTTCATGAATTTGCATGTCATCGTTGCGCAGGGGCCATGCTAATCTTCTCTGGATACAGTTATTTGAAAACAAAAAGCTTGAAATCTTTGTTAAACACAGAGTAAAATTCTCATTCAAAATGAAATTTTAGTCTAGCTGAAAATTAGGCAGATACTAAAGAAGATAATATTACTAGGAAGAAATCCTAAGTTCATAGAAACCTTCGTTGATGGTTGTAGGAGTTGGGGGTCCTAATAGGAAATAGGTCCCCACACTCAAATATTTGATCCCAGGCAACTTACAGAGGTATGAACAGGATAAAGTATCCAACAAAAAATATGAGGCGACCACATATTAACCACATCAGAAAGCCATTACTCTATCAAAGTCTAAAAGAGCAAGGGGAGGAAATAGGGGAAACGAAGCCTTGGATTAAACCATGGAAGAGGTGCTGACTCACAGAGCTGATACCTCGGATCATTGCCACTGTCAGACCCACTACAAGGCAGGGAGACAATGATGGAGGCAGGTGTGAGTATCCATATGTCATTTTTTTCTAGGCCTACTCTCCAGAATCCGGTCAGTGGCATCCATTGGCCAACCAATAGACATGGGTGCAGTCTATAGAGATTTGCCTCCTGGATTGCAGAGTGGGACAAAAGTGTGGGGCGAGGTAACACACAAGATCAGATTGTCAAATCCTATTCACACAAATCAGAGATGGTGTCTAGTGTTAGATTTTCTGGGCGGCTTCAAGGATACAAAGAATCAAGAGACACATTTTAAACAGGAAAATGTCTGGCACATTCAGGATCATTCTACATGTCCTTCTTTACTAATGAAATACATGGGTAGCGTTTAGTTCATGAAACATCTCCATTTTATACCTTGCCTATTTATATGGCATTTTTGAGGAAATTATGCCCCATAAATCCATATTTCCTAGGTTTAGTTCCCATAACCAATTATAATTATGGACATCCTGCTAAAATAATTCCATAGATGTGAACTCTCCTCCTAGAAAAATACCATTATTCAATTTATCAGGAAGTCTGATACGTTGAAATGGAGATTAGAATTATGTGCATTCCTTCTTTCTTTACCTGGGAATATTTGATAATGGAGAAACTGTTGGAGAAATGGTATCTCTTCGTTACACTGCTAGCTCAATTTAAATTTGAAAGTGAGTTACTATCAGTAATCTTCTTAGGGGATGAGCAGGTAAAAAGGAGTTAAAAATTAACATAAAAAACGTGGCTACTTCATTTATGGCTTTGAGGACACAGAATTAATCAAAGCTGCTGTCTTCCACCACCCACTTTATGTCATGCTTACCCTCTCCCAACAGCTCAGCATATTTTTTTTTATTTATTTCTGTTTGTTTTCCCTGCTAGGAAACCCAAATTTTCTTTAGATGGTCTTATCTCTGTATATAGTAGTTTGCTGAGGCTCCCATAACAACATACCTTGGCTTAAACAATAGAAATTTATTTTCTCACAGTTTGGAGGATAAAAGTCCAAGGTTAAGGTTCTGGTGGATTCTGTTTCTAGTAAGGAGTCTCTTCTGGGCTTATAGATGCACAGGGGAAGCTCTGCTCATGAAGTCCAGGGAGGTATACTGAACATGTCCAGCCCCTCAAACGCATCAAGACACTGCTTTCCCATGTCTGCTAATATCTCCCAAGCCACAGGTCAAAGGAGCATGTCTAAAGTTAAGCACGGTATGCACATTCCTCTACTATGAAGCCAAACAAGCCACATGACGAAGCCCACTAACAGGAGGGAGGTACATACTTTCAACAGAGTATGTACTTTGGGGAGTACTGAGTCAATTTTTTTATAAGATTTTATTTATTTATTCATGAGAGATACAGAGAGAGACAGAGACAGCCTGAGGGAGAAGCAGGCTCCCTGCAGGGAGCCTGACATGGGACTTGATCCCAGGACCCCAGGATCATGCCCTGATCCAAAGGCAGATGCTCAACCACTGAGCCACCCAAGTGCCCCTGAGTCAACCATTTCCTTCAGCAATCTACTCTATTGTATTGTCCAAGTCTAGATAAGTAGACTCTCCTGTCTGACAATTACAATCCAAATTCTCATCCCTTTCTTTTCTGTGTGTTATGTGTGTGTGTGTGTGTGTGTGTGTGTGTGTGTGTGTGTGTGTGTGTGTCTATCTCCCTAGGACCCTTCATGGTACTGTCATGCTTGTGCTAATCAGTATCTACCAAATTGCTCTAACCTGACATGGTTTTTGCACATACGTGCCAACTGTCAATGCCTGGCAATCCCAGATTTATTTCAGAGGGTTATGGAATTTGGCCTCATGTCCCTTTGTCCTCTCTTACTGCAGTGGAAATATCTACTGCTAATGTGCTATGCATTTCCCTCTTTTTTTCCACATTTACCTCTATTTCTTTTCATAATTATTCTTAACTGTGTGTTTTGGAATATCACCACCATAAGAAATGACAAAGAGTTTCATTACTTTATAACAATGATTAATAACTCGTTTGTAAGTTAATTCCATGAGGACAAAGATAGCATTTTAGGCATTTTTGGATGGAGGGGTAATTTCATATATATTCTATGATCCTTGCTGGCTAATGAGATTTTACTTATTGTGCGACTTTTATTTGCTAGGCAGGTTTTAGATAGTTCAAAAGCCTTTATATTGAATTAATTATATCATTTAATCATGTATCTTATACTGTTGGTATCTCTACTTTTTATGAATATATTTGAAATGTATAGACAACAAAGAAATCGTATGTGGTCAAAGCATTGCAAATGGCAAAACTGTTACTTGGAAGCTGAATTTACTATTCCAACTACCCTGTTTCTTTTAATACAACACAAAATATTGTAAAGCTGCCATAGTCCTGACTGATGTTCCACTAGATATTGCATGCAATAAAACTATATATTTGAGTAAAGTTTGTTTGAAAGATACTTTAATTCTATTTCTGTACCAATCTGAAAATTTAGAGCACAATCTTGCAGCTAATGAACTTTGCTCCATTGTGATTGAGGGTCATGTCAAAATGAACCCATTAATCACTATAATTCCTCACAGAGGAGTCTGAAATTGCTAGAGAGTGAACATTTAATAAGTGGGAAATGCTATAAATGTCACTCCAGATGTGAGCCAATGAAGAGACAGGTAATGATTCAATAGTGTATTTTTAAAACTATATGTAGGCTGATTTGGAAGAAATACAGTGATTCATTTTGGGAATGACTTTTATGGAACCAATTCATTTGAAAATTATAGCTGAGAAAATGGTATGTGTGTGACATTACTTTATCCATTTTTAACTGGAAGTTATAAAAATGAATGTTATTTAGAAGAAAAGTCATGAAGAGAGAATTCTTTTTCAAAATAACTCAGCCTGCATTGGATAGACAATTAAAGGATTGCCTATTTGCATAAATCAGGAAAAATATAGGTAAAATTTTGCACTTTTAATTTGTCTCATTTTTATTCTTCCAAATTTAAAAAACGGAGAAGAAAGCCTTCCAGTCTAATCTCTGCAGGTTAAGTATACCCCTGGCTAAAGAAGTATGACCAAACACATACGGGAAATGGCAGAAAAGTATTACCATGAGTATTTTTATTCTGTGTGATATGAGATATTAATGTTGCTCTAACCCAACTCAGCAAATTTCTTAACTCTCTGGTTCTCAGTTTCCTTGTCCATAAAACTCATCAGTTGTATGATGTGACATGTAAGGTACCTCCTAGCCCTGAGAAGTTGTGACTCTCTAGACAGTCTAATTTAGTGTTAGTAATGAGTAGTCTTCTCTCTGGCAAAAATTATTATCGGTTATTAAAAATAAAGATCCTAACATTACATTTCTTTTGGGCCCAAATAATTTTCCTCATAAAGAGAATATTCAGGCCTCCTTTAAAACCGGGAAAAAAAAATAAGATCTAATTGGATGGTTGATTTTTTTTTTAACTTTATTATTCTTCAGGACACCCCGTTAATGTCAAGAAGTTTATTTTAAATAATAGTTCCATCAGTTCATTCTTCAGCAAGGTTTGAAATCTTCTAAAAGTGTCTTTATCCAGCAGCTTATATATCATAAACTACTAACAATTAAAAAGAGTCAAGAAAAACTTTGGTGGAAGGCAACTCCGGCACTAATTAGGGATTATTACTGATTTGCAGATTGTGTATTTTCTAGCAAACTGCTGTGAAACGGCATCTCGTGTTTTAGATAATAACATTTTCATGCCTGATAAATACATTCATGATCACTGCTTTTTCAACCGGCAAGCTATGCATGTTTTATTTAAGCTGTAGAGTCTCAGAGGTTGTTCGTATTCTTCTACTGCTTAAAATTTTTTACTGAATTAATGTAACAACTCTTTTTTAAGTGATAAAAGAAATAATGCACAGCTGTAAAATTTCTTGATTTTTAACGTAGACTTAATCTGCATATTTTCCTCCCTAAGCCCTGTTTTTTTTTTTTAAGTTCTATAGTGATAATTCCCCTCTAATAGGAAAGTGCATATCATGAAGAATTGTGTTTTAAAAATAAGCAAATACCCTGGTTCTTTAGCAGAGGCATCTGCTAAGAATGAAGCAAGCAAAATATTTTCTTCTACGAGTGGAATATGAAATGTTTAGAGAGAATACTGGGTGAACGCACTTCTTAGAAGTGAGAGCTTAGAAATGAATGTAGAGCAGGAACTCAAGACTTTAAATTTTCATGGACTGAACATGGCCTGTAAAATAAATGTATTCAGAAGAATACGCATGTTAGCCTTCTATCCATCTCCCAGACGGAGCTTTTTATTTTTATTTTTATTTTGTATTTTTTTATTTTTTTTCCGTCCTGCATGTGTTCTGTATGTTATAGAATCTATGAGTCTACCCTGACCTTTCAGGCCATGACAACCTTATAGGCTATCAATGATCTTCACTCTTAATATTATTCAATTTCACCCTAAATAAAAGATGCTGCTAATTGCACATTAACTAGAAAAGTTTTGGAGTTTCATATACTTAGACAAAACCAGGCCATAGGTATAAGAAACTTTGAGATTAATTACAGAAGTCTCTTGGCCTTTGAGTGTTCATCTGAGAGTTAAGGGTAAGT